CGAGTGATTCCGGTGTAGTGACATAGACACAGAGAGCTTAGTTTGTTCGAGAATCCAACGCCTGCTGCTGATTTTGGGTAAAACTTGTTCAAAGGGATTTGGGTTGACGTTGACCAAATTGACCACCCCCTCAAATATGTTTATCAAATATGTAATTATATAATTATATACTTCCCACTCCTTCCACATATGTTCGATGGCTCCCCTGGACAGCTCAGACGTCGTTTGAAACCATCACACGTCGAGGCCTGGTGCTGTATTCATCAGAAGATCGGTTGTCCCGACAAGGAGGACGACTATGATTGTAGCAAGAGGCCTATTGTATTATTGTGTGCAGAGCGAATGAACAAAAACGTACTGATGGTGGTTTGCGGAGCCAATTCTGGCTGTCCAAGTGGCCTTCTCCATTGCAGTCAACAATGAGAAGTCCCTGGCCATTGCACTGACTGATGGATTCAACATTGAGCTGGCAAGTCAATTTTGATCCCGTTTTGTTAAAGTTCCAGTTGAACACGAGCAAACACAGTCATTGGAGCTTGTGGTAGGTGCACCCTACTCGTGAATGTTACCATCCACAACCCTGTCCGCCTGACCCCAAGCACACCTCGATCTGGACCTCGCCAAGGCATTGGCCTAGCAAACTGGGAAAGTCACTGGTCCTCGGGGAAGAAGGCAGGAACTTGGGGAAGGAATCCACACGCAAACTTCCGACCTGTCGATGGAGATTCAAAGATTAGTCCACAATCTAAGTCCCTAGGTTTACCAAATGTGGACGATCAGCTCAAATCTCTCTGAGGTAGTTGTTTGTTTTGATCAACATATTACATATTGAATTAAACATTGGATCCAAGCCATGTTCTTTGTGTTTGGTGTAGGAGATCCAGCAAATTGAGGACTATATAATTCACCAAACTGAGGTGTCGTTGTTTCCGGCGCTGTTTCACCAAACTTAAGACCACCGACCTTTCCGACCCATGAGAACGGCATCCAAAGAGATCGACCGAGCAGACATCCCTCCGGTTGATACCGCGATCGGAGAGAATGTCGACAGAGAAAATAGACATCCGGCTTTGCGACCCACGGTACCCACGGTTGGTCGCCAGGGTTAGTCAGCGATACTTGAAACATGGACCCTGAAACAAGTCCGAAAGACTTCATGTATGCGAACATAAACAACAATAGTCATGTAAGGGTATATGACATGTATGTACAGTACATGTAGTACATATATAACTATATATATATGTTTATGAATTGTTTTTGATATATTTTTGTAGGTTGGTGGTGAATGCAGATTACATACCAACATGGAGTGTTTGAGAATCATATATTTATGGTTTATAATCTGGAGTTGAGCTCCAGGTCTTTTGTGACGTCCTGAAAATCCGCGTGTCTCAATTCGACTGCGCCAGAAGTGGTGCTGTCATCACTATGATCGAGGCTGTGATTATGATTGCAGTGCTGGAGCTCAATGTCAAATCCAGCCATATACTGTATATTTATATATACACAGTATACAGTATATATACTGTGTATATATATATATATAACAAGCAGACTTGTTCATCGGATTTGATTGGATTTCACATGATGTCATCAATTTCCAGCTGGAAAAATATCAATAGGATTTCACCTTGTTGTTTTGTTGTTCAAGTACACCAGCTTTGAAGGCAGTTTGCACTCAGTTCATGGTGGACAACTTGACAACCAATTCTCAAGGTCAAATTCAAACACTATGACGGAGTAGTTAGCTTAATTGGATCCATCTAAGGATGGAACGACGATGAAGTACCCAACATGATCCAACCACTTGAGGTTTCTAGAAGATTCCAAGGCCAGACCAGGTCCGGGGACGTGTTCCGAGCTTTCCGAGGTGCTTTGCTGCATCGTGACAGCTGGTCCGAGGACCAAAAGGCCCAGATCAACACATCGACCCGGGAGTCTGTGGGAGCGGAGAGGGAACCGGTTTTTGGGCAAGGCAACTTCCGAAGTAAGCAGCGAGTCATCTATACATATATATATACTGAGTAGACCTGTATACCACAGAATTATAGAACAGAATTGAGGAGTGTTTGGTGCAGTTCGAGAATTTGCCCTTGGAGGATCGTTTTGCATCACTTGGAGCGGACAAATTTCCTCTGTATACCCATGTATACCCAGTTGTATCCAGTCAGTTTTGGTTGAGATTTGGATTCACTGAATTTGCCTTCGCTCTTGCAGCGCCAAGCACAGTGTTCTCGTCTCCACCTGTGCCCTTCAGGTCCAGGTACTCCACCACTTCATCCAGTCCGAAACTGGGGCTTAGTGACAAGGTCAATCGCTACGAACGCAGCTAAGTGCATCGCTACCTTCAACTGGGGATGGTTTTGGGCGATGCGATCACTTCGCAACCTCCCAATCCCGCACCGAGCTCGCTTTCGCTCGCTCTCGGCGTTTTTCGTCGATCGCGTCGATCCCACGAGGCTTGGTGCTGTCGGCACAAGGGCAAGGGATGCCCAGGGAGTCCGTTGCCACGTGGGGCAGCTCAGGGGCGCTGAACCCTGGGCACTGCTGTCGATGTTTGGAACCCTGGGGTTGGTAGGCACTAGATCAAGCGAGTTGCTATAGGTTCATGTCAAATTATTTGCAACAGTTTACAGAATGTGGTTGCCTGCATGTCCATTTGCACGGAAAAGTTGTTCCCTGGTGTTGTTCAAGCTATTTGCCTTTTATATGCGTTGAACATGGACTCTCAAAGCAACACACTAAAACTTCTTGTTACTATCTTACAATGTCTTATATGGGTCATTCCAGTGGTCAGGGGATTGGTCGAAACAGAAAAGCGGCTGCACCACGTGCTCGGCAGCGCCGGCAGCGCCGGCAGCTCGGTTCGAATCCGAACGATCCCGTTCCCAGGCTTCGATTGCAGTCCGGGCGCCGGAGGAGGGGGTAACCGGACGAGGGTGCAGCCAGGACAGATTTGTTTGTTCTTTTGGGGGATTTCATGCAGTTGAACATGACCTAAATTGTCCTAAACAATCCTAAACATACTTATAAAGTCCTTTGAGAGAAGTGAAGGGGAACCTTTCCCAATTTAGTTATGATGTGTTATGATGTGTTATTATGCATGGAACCTTACCCCATTCTCGTGTTTGTGAGTTTTTGGGCAGCCCTCGTTCATGGATGTGGCAAGTTCAGAAGTAAAATATATGATGCACATATGTGGATATCAAGCTAAACCCACACTTTGTTGCTACCGATGACCCATGTTTGGCTTCCCATGACATCGGATTCTCATCATGGAATCAACCATAATCAACCTCTTTTTTTCCGAACACCACCTCGATGAGAACATCTCCGAGGTGATGGCTTGCATGAGGAGTGGGCAGGTGACAAGAAGGAGCGGCGATTAAGTTAATTCTTTCTTCAGCAAGAAATGGTCAGAAAGAACTCCTATTCTGAATATTCTGAAGATATTGGAGAACTCCTAGAAATGGAAGTTCAGCTATACGAACTCCTATTTTATTGGAGACATATTGAGGGCTTGTATAGCATCTTCGTCTAGCGTCGTCCCGTCGCGTGAACGCTCCGTTTTTTCACTGTCCTTGTGCGAACAAACATGTCGTGTCAGACTTTTAAGACGTTGGGCTCTTACTAGCCGTCCTCACTGTAACTTGTGGTGGACCTACCCAAGATATGTCACATGCACAGTCATGCAGGTGTTCAGTGATAACCGTTTTGCGGAAAATGGGAGCTTAGTCATCCTGGAGTCGTCCAGCCCGCAAACTTTTGAGATCATTGAGGAAAATGTTTTCCGATGTCTAGCTTGGACTGAGGTAGTGCTTACTAGCCCCAAACTGGATGGGCCTGAATCTGTCGAGCCCGAAGTAGAGAGAGAGAGAGAGGGAGGGAGGGAATCAAAGCTTTCACTGAGCCTTGCAGCACATCTACATGCACAGTAGACCCACAGCTCCACCTTGAGTATCCTCGTAGTTGTAGGTAGGGAGAACTTACACTTGCCTAGACAAATGCAGCAATGCAAGAAGGAGGTTTGGAAAGTAAAGCCGGCGCTACGAGTCGCCATGCTAGTTTTGGCAAATAGCACCTGTCTCATAGGATATTTTCCATTTGCGGCAACTGTACGGTATTCGAAAGATGGGGGGGTCCAACCCCAAATCACCTGATGTGGTAGGGACAAAGAGGAAACAGGAAAAATCCAACAAAAAAGAGCAAAAAGCACCATCATATGTATGTCATGAGTGTCTTTCATCAAATCATAGTCCCTAAATGTCCCTGCCCTGCCGTCATCCCTTTAAAAACTACCGTCGGCCCCGGGGTGCGTGTTTTGTAGGTCCAGAGCCAGGACTGGTGCTGCAAGCAAGAGCAAGTGGGCTGTGCGAGTCATGAGAGCTACGATTGCAGCCGGAGCCCAGCGGATCGACTGGACCCAGGGCCACGCGGAGTTACTTGAAGGTAACAGGGTGAGCACAGTGGAACCTCGAAATTGCAGCAAGAAAGCATGTGAACACCAAGAATCGGTTTGTTGGTGACCGACCCGTATTTGGTCATTTGGAATTTGGCAGGTTTTAGCATGCCATTCAAGTCTTTCTTTGTGCGTTGCTTGCCTTGAAACTCACAATTCACCTTTTCATCTGCTCTCCTTATTCTGGCGTTGCTTAAATGTTATGTTTATTTTCCCGAACTGGGTGAAGGTGACTCCCCTTCTGGGCCTTTGGGGAACATGTCTTTTGTTCTTTTTGACGGCTCCTTAAGCAGATCCAAGTCGGTAAGTTTCGCCATGGGTGGACCTGAGGGGCACGATGAAGGGCAGGCGCCGAAAGGATTTTCCCGGTGTTGCGCATCCAAAAGATACATCTACCGTACCCAGGAGAAGTGGATCACATGCAAACCCCCCTTTCTTGGGGGGTGGGGCTTGGGGAGAACCCGACTAAGAAGGAAACAGTGGAATCTTGTCCCATAACCTTTTCTATTCCAGGAATTTCCGGCTTGGGGGTCAGGACATGACATCGCTGGACAATAATGGTTTGTTTATTCGACCAGCCATGGAGATGCTCCACTGTGATTGCGACCAGGCCACGGCTATTCCAACTGGCGACATGCCTGGTCCGATGACAAGACGGACTGGTGCTGCAGGTACCGATGTGCGGGTAGACACCGTTCGCCGCGGCACACGGACTGTCGCCTTAGGCGACGGTCCACGCGGAGGGTCAGTTGGCTGGTCCAAACTCGGGGGGTGTTGTAGGCCCTACTCAACTTCTCAACGTTCACTGATCACCGAGTGGAGGGCACAAGTCTGTATGGGTGAAAGGGTTTGTTAGGAAAAGGCCACGCCCGTTGTTTGAAAGAGGTGAACAAAAAGATCTCATCCAAGGTTGTTTCTGACGTTCAACTCTAAAAAGCAGTACAGTCTGACCCAGTAAGAGCTGGTTAAGTCAGATATGGTTGTAAATAGCTTGATTTATGTATGGAAATGGGGTCCTGATCACATGGATCACATGTGTCACTGGTGACCCATCAAGGATTTTAGACCAGATTGGTCTTCGAAGTCTCAAGTACTTGCATCTACCAGTCAATGGACAACAGGTCTTTTGGTTACAGTAGATATTTGCAAAACAAAAACTGCAGGTTGAAATCACCGTAATTGTTTGGCGGCAACGCTTGGGGGCTGCTTTGTACTCAATTGGTGAAGGAGTACTGTATGTTTTCTCAGCAAATCTATGAGAATGGACCGTCACCTGCGGGTTTCGCAGGGCAGTGAGGTAGGCCGGTCGGGCTTTTTCTTGCCGTCATCGACGCATCGATGCATTACTGTTGCGGGAGTGCTGGCTCTTGATGACATCTTTGTTGAATGACTGAAGAGCACTTTGCTTCCCGAAAGGTGGCTTTTTTCGGGTCTCAAGATGTCTCGAGCCTGGCTTCTTAGTTTGGTCCTGTTCAACACACGTAGGCTTGGCGACTTGAACGAGAGCATTTGGAGCCTCTTTCGAATGCGCTAGGCATAAGAATCGTGGATGCGAGCATGACTGCCGCTGGAGCCTTAGTCAGCCATCAACTTGAGGGTCACAAGATTGTTCCCTTAATTCATGAATCCCCATTACCTTTTTCATAATTTGCTAGACAATCATCATTTGCTGGGTGCCCCGCAGGGCAAGTCTTGATGCTAAATGCGCCTAAAGCCCGGAGGACACAATGTTGCGGCGAATGTAAGAATCGCTGCCGCAACGAGTTCTTTTTCTTTCGGGGTGTAGGTGTGGGTTCCAAACTCCAATCCACAATAGAAGATATGTCATTCGCAAGTAATCGACGTGAACTTTAGTTTCTGAGCCATGTTAGTCTCCAGGAGATTTGTGCGGATGATGTGTGAAGCACGAAATCACAGACAAAGACAATGACCGACAAAGACAAGATACAATACAGGTGTCCGAATGCTTTGCAAGTTCCAGGGCATTCTGCCAGGTCGATCAAGCTTCCGAAAGGCTTGCTTGGATTTTGAGAAACACCAACGAAGGATTCAATCAAGAGTCAGGAGCTAGTCTTGATCAGACTAAAATGTTTATTCTTTTTCTTGAAATCTTTGGTTTCATCCTTTGTTGAAACCGGCCACGCCGTCTTCACCGGACCAGGCGAAGACATGTTGCACTGGAAGACCCATTGGTTCTGCACTCAGAAGTGGGATCCATGCAGCCTTGGTTCATAGACCCATTGGATGGCCTGTCTTTGACAGCCTTGATGAAAGAACACTCCAGGGTGAGTCGACCCCTCTATTGTTATCAAAAATACATCATTGGTGGTGTTATCTATGATATGATATATATATATAGTGCCCCGGAGATCCACAGACCTGAGAAGGTGTGTCTCAGAAGTTCCGTTGATCGCGGGGTGTTAGATATGATCGTTTCGGTATGCCAGGCCCTTTTCTGGATTTCTGTTGGCAGCAACTACCCTAAGTCTTGACTGGTCGCAACGACTAAGAACCTATAGCTCGGAAAGGCATTTATATATAACATCACATAAATATTTGCAGTGGTAAGTGGATTTGATCACCTGGTGCCCACCAAGCCCCAAGCCAATCAATACCAATATGTAATATGTCCAGCTCCAATCTTTCAGTGACAGCTTCCATGGTTGACAAGCAGCTTAGCTGGGTGTAGCTCAGGGCCACTGACAAGCAGCCATGCAGCAGCACTAGCGATGAATATGCAGTGCGTATCCTTCATGACATGTCACCAAACCCGGATATCAAAGGTCCCGATTCGATCAACTGCACAGGGCACCTTGTGTCACCCTGTGTCACCTGGACAACAATTGTTGAAAAGAGCAGACTCTGGATACCTGTTTTTTTTCCGTCCAAAAGGTTATAAACTCCAAACAAAGACTCTTGGCAGCGAGTTCTTTGCGCGGTCGGAGTTCCGATGAGCGGTATCTTGTGAGCACACGGGTTTTGCAGGAACATGAAAAACATATGAAAGGAACACAACGACCAGGTGTTCCACAGCCAGGTGTTTCCTGAAAAACAGTGGCCAAATCATATTGTTTCATCAAGGCGGGTGATCTACAGCATGATTTGGCTGCCAGGTCTTCCAGTCGGAAGAAGTGGTGCTGCGACCATGTGGGTTTCGGTTGTGAAAGGCACCCGGTCGGTGACTCCGATGACCTCCGGTCGGGGACAGGGCAACCGTCGCCCGGACGGTTGCCAGTGGATGGCATGACCCCGGTTTCGGATGAGCATTTTTCTGAATACCTAACAGCTGGTGTTTTCCCTTTTGGGGGAGAGTACCAGGGACATCCCAGTATATCATAAAATGATACAGAATGATACAGATATGCACTATCTATAGAGAAACCTGCTTTCGATGCACATATTGAGGTGATTCCAAATGTTGTTCTTGTTCTTCACAAACTCACGACTCCTAAGGGTGGTGTAAACCCGGTGTGCTGCCATGTTTGTGCATTTCGGTCTCAGTGATACATGTTAGCTTCGATTGGTTCCCATAACTGGCTCTAGGGACCTTTAGGGGCATAGAGTCGGCTTAAAGGTTTGGATAGGTTTGGGATTGGATCGATTGTTGCGGTTCGTCAAACCTCATGGTCTTTCACGGATGACAGTCACAGGTCCACGCCGGTCGACCGTCGGTGTGCTCTGCACCAGACATCGGCACGAGACATCCGAACCCTCCAACGTTCGGGCCCCATGAGTTGAATGGCTGTGAAAGGAACAAGCGGAGGGCTTCAGTTGATGCATGTGTCCTTGAACTAACCAGCACAATGTGATATATTTACTTGGGGAAGCAATCTTCACTCCCCGGGAGTAATTTTCAAGTGTGATTGTCATGTGTTGCCGAACTGAAACCTTCAGCCAGTTCAATTGGTTCTTCTGTCAATGGTCAATGGTAGTGATTGTCTAACACATAAGAAGCATTACCAATTAAAGTCGGTCGATTGGAAGTTCACACGGATTATGTTCTTTCCTCACTGGTTGGGGCTAGTGCCGCGCCGAACCCATTTAGTGGAACAATGACTTCTCTCAATTCGGGTGCCGTGGCAAAGACAAGCCCCCAACTCCCCGCAAGTCCAAAGACCCAGTAAAACCTGGTCCTTTACTAGGTAGGTGGTTTAAGTCGCCTGGGCTGGTGTGAAGTCGTCTAGAAACACTGTGCCCATGCAGTCTCCTTGAGTAGGGACTGATTGATCATCGGATGTCGGATGAAAAACTGCTCTCGGGTGACGTCGGTTTCGCGTGGCAGGTGATCCCAAGTTTCACGTGATCGAAGTAGCGGTCCTAAATTCGGCCAACATGCAAAGAGTGCATGTCTTCGGCATAGTGCAGGACATGTCGATGCGGGGAGAGCGGGAGTTGAGACATGGAATTGAGACAATTTGTTCAGCGGCTGCAAAAGAAAGCTCTGCAACCAGTTTGTTCTTCTTGCATGAAATGCTAAGGGTGTTCTCTTCGGAGTGTTCTCTTCGGATCGAGAAGGGCAACTGGTGAGACTGGCTCAACATCCCCTCCCTTGAACCCACAGACTGGAGCAAAGACTCCCAAAGTCACGCTGGGGGTTCATATGTGTCGGTGTAGGCGGTGTGTTCATGTTCGGGTGAAAAGCGTCTTACTCGCGTTGCTAGGGTGCGTCCCCAGTAGACCAGGAACAGTCGATAAAACGGATAAAAGATGATGCAACCTTTTTTGGGGAAAGGTTTGCATCCTAGCCATCATCATCCACTGGGCCCTGGTAATGGGATGTACCGAAGGTCTTACTGTACCATGTCTTGCAATATCTGACTTCATTCTATGGAACTCTTTTTCCAACTTCCAACTACCAGCTTGATTCCGCACATGTCATGAACAGCTGATTAATTCTCATGTCCTGACTGTCTACGCCGAATAGCTATAGTTGAACAAGCTCTAGTGAGTTGGATATTTGGGTTGGATACTTGGCAAAAAAACCTTGGGCTTTGGGTATTCCTTTGGGATTCCACACTTGTAGATCGCCATTCGTGGGGCTCGAAGCTTGGGTCCGGAGGCTCAAATCAGAGGCAGAATGGTTCTCCCATCGATGACGCATAATTTTCCTCATAGAAATCCCTCGACAGAAATCAGATGCAAATGAGCAAAGGGATTCTGCAGAATCTGCCGGGAACAAGTTGTACACTACCAACAGCCTGAGCAAAAATAACAAAAACACCAGTTGCAGCTTGTGAAATCAATGAGTAGAATTCTCCATCTAGCACTGTTTTCATGCCCAGGCATGCCGTGTATCTCCAGTGAAACACGGGGTTTTCCTCCCCCCCCAAAAAGGCATCCCATCCGAAAGCTTCCCTGAAAACAAACCCATCAAAACCGAAGCTTCCCGTGGCTGGCGCTGTCTGGAGCTCCAGGGGATCCGGCGGATCCCAGTTCGGTCAGTTTCGGTCGGGTTGGAAAGCGGAGCCGACCAACGAGTTTGGAGATCGCATAGACAAGTGCTGATGATCAAGGGGATGGGAGAAGGACTACATCACTATAGTAATGTAGCAGCAGAGAATTGAGCAAGACTCAGTGGTTTGACCATCAACCAGTGAAGACTACCAAAACTACGCCTGTGTTAATAATACGTTGTTTTCCTTTTTGGTGTATCCATTTTGAGTAGTGTGTTGTTGCCTATTGTTTTCCAGGCAAACCCCAAATGGCTCAAAGGCTACTCTTCGTTTGCCTTCAGCCACCGAGATCGCTGCTTTGATCTCGGTGTGACACCAACACGCCGGGGCGGGCCGAGCGACTGATCTTCCTATGGGTGCGGTTTCCTCATAGGGAACCTCATTTCGAAATCAGACGAAATCCGTGGGTTGGGAGGTCCCCCCATTCAAATACACACCCATGAAAAGAAACACCGTCGTGTTTTGGAGGTGTAGAGGGCCAAAGCGAAAACCTTCATGTGGTTTTGTATGTTACGGTCACTGGCCGAATTGATTTGCTCTTGCTTTTTCCAAAGGTCTTTGAGGGGTCCCCTATTCTGCACACCCAATGTCATGTGTCAGAGGAATGACATCTGCAGTGAAGAGTGTGGCTCTTTCCTGTTTGTGTTTTTTTTTTTTTCTAGCGCCATCTCCTGATGGGCGTGGGAAGCCAGCTACACCACTAGCCAGGCTGGGGCCCCGCATGAGTCGGGCCAAAGATGCCCGGTGCAACGCGGACGAACAGCGGCAACTCAGACTTTGACGTTCGGAGCTCAGTGCGTTCGGTCCAGATGTGTTTCATGATTTGGGTGGTCAAAACCTGGAAGTTCAAAACCCTGATGGGTCAACCAAGGTCTCCCTCTTCGCACCATTTGGGCTCAAATCATCCCCCAAAAGGACCAAAAGGGGCGAGTTGCTTGTGAAAGAACCCCATAAGCCCCCAAATCGTCCCCGATGTCAGAAACACTCACCTTGTCCGATCATCGGAAGCGCTCGATGCTTTAGGTCCAATAGGGTAGTTGAGACGTTCGATTGGCCAGGAGTAAGTTGAGTCGTTGAGACTTGTTTCGTCCAATGGGCTAGTCTCACGATGTTTCATGTAATTGAGCAACTGAAGTTTCACCTGGAGACTTCAGGTTGTGTCTTCAACCACTTGGCTGTGCGGCAAACGCAGCAAGAACATTAAATCCATGGGCCCCATGTTGCCTTATTTGTGGGGTTTTCAGCATTTCCTGGGCTACCAGTTGCTGATCCACAGTAGATGTGAAGCTTGAAGCATCTATATATATATATATATGTATTTCCATGGCAACTGTGCTGTTCGGAAGAATTCTATCAGAAGATGAACTCTCAGTCACCACCTTGCACCGTCTCATCCTGGAGTTCCCTTTCCACGCAGATAAGAAACAACAACACACAACACGGAGGTGGCGCAGCTCTTGGCAGAGCTCAGTGAGGAAAGTGATGGCCCAAGTACCAAGCTGAAACAGTCGGGTGCCACGGGGCCTGCTGCCGTCCACTCAGAAGAGGACTGGGAGAGTGGGAGAAGGTGTGCAAGACTTGAGTGTTGCCGGAATCTTTATGTGAGAACTGGAGAACTTTTCAGTATATGATGTACAATATCTCTATAAATATATAGTACGTGATGTGTTTTGTTGTTCACCATTCACGAAGAGAAGTTCTGACTGCAGCTGGAGCAGCCGTGAATGTACAGTGATTCTGAAAGGTACCATGCGGTACCAGCGGCGCGTCGCTTCTCCAGAGACCACGACGCCTCGCTTTTGGTGCGACCGGTCAAGAAGGGGGCCCTTTTCTGTGTCGCGACCCGCCGAGCCCGGTGATCCCTTCACCGTCAGGTTCGTGAAGAAAGTTTGAAGAACGGTACATCTCAAGGATTCCGTTGAACATGTTGGCCAAGCAGACTTGTCTTAAAGACACCCTAATGCGGTGGCATCCCCAGGTTCAATCATATGTTTGCAAGATTGTGACGCTACACTCTTCAAGGGCCTGTCAGGAGGAATCAACATTTTGACGAAGACAAGCTTGCTTGCAGGACCATCCAGGAAAGACTGCTAAGCATGTGCATTAAACTTCTAAGCAATAGTCCATTCTTAGCTGCTAATTGATTCTTGAAAGGTCGTACAGAAAGCCAAGAAAACCGAAGCTTGATTCATCCCAGTGGCATCGGCGACTGTTGGTGGATCCATGGTCGATGTGGCGAGCTTGAGTGGAGTGTGGCGACCATTGGGTCTTCCAAAGCAGTCCAGGACGAGCACAGGACGACCAGCCTTTACCCAAGGAGTGGAAGGAGTGGAAGCAGGTGACCAGCAGTTCGCTGGTGACGTAGCTCGTCCCATTCAGTGAGTTGTAGCTCCTCCGTGAACCGAGCGCTGGCTTCGCTTTCTGTCCGTTCGTTCTGCAGCCACGAGCGCTGGAACTCCACCGGTAACCGGTAGTGTTTGTGATGTGCCTTCTGTGGTGATTCTGAGACAGCAGACCGGTACCGCCTCTCACATCAGTTTCCTTTCATCCACCCCAAGCTGCCCACAAGTGGATTGTCAACCTGAACAACATGATACAGCGCAATACAACCACTGGGGTCATGCGACCCTATACGTCAGGTAGGTCATGAGATTTGGCAAGCTCAAATACAAGATACCCTGAATGAGAGACTTGGCTTCACAAGCCGTGAACATCCACTTGGGTGGCACATGTATTCAGTACATGCTTTTGTTCATTTGGTCGAATCCGTTGCAAAAAATTACATATATATATATACATAGAAGGCTTCTAAAGTACTATAACTAGTGAATACTGGTTGGTTGCACTCCTCACGACAACTCTTTTCATTGAAGACAGAAGTGTCCGAAAAGGATATGTTGTATATTTTTTGACCCCACCAGTGGACCAAATGGAGCTACTAGCCCCGTGAAGCCACCTGTTGGGAACTTTACCCAAATCCTTTCGTTGGTCACGGCAGTCAGGGGGTTCTAAGTTCGAAGCAGGATTGATTCTCCACAACCTCAGGGCCCCCCCCGGAACCAAGGGAACAAATATTAGAATTGAAAGTCCCACCTTCAACTGAAAGAAACATGAAGGATTTCGTTAAGCCCTCGGTTCTAGTTGGCTGCTGTCGGTTGCTTATGTTGATTCAGTGGACTGTTTCAGGGCGGCATTGTTCCCCAGAGGACCTTCGATTGGACTGACGAGCAATGAGCAACCATAGGTATGCTGAGTGTATCCATCTCTCGTGTATAGACCTTTTGTTCATATAACTTATACCTAAGACACCCAGGCTGTAAAGGGTTGTTGTCGTTCTGTGAAATTCAACTAATTTTGTACATCGCTTGATGTATAGTTTTAGTGTGTTTCAGTCACTTTTAGTCCCCTTCTGAGAAAAAACACTGCCACTTCATGGGTTTGTCTGCCAAGTTGGAACTCGCCATGACTTTAGGAACTTAGCAACTTCACTGTCACTAGTGTTTCAACAAACTCGTGAGGTTTCGGTTGCGTTTTGGCGTCATGTTACGCCTGTGTGTGTTCCTTTTTGTGAGGGGAAGTGGCGTTGTTGTTCATTTCCTCCATTCTCTCCACAATCCAAAACGTGCCGCACTACAGGCATTTCTGCCGCTTGCCCCAAGAACAGCCAAATACAAATTAAACATACCAAGGAAGATGTAGGCATATAGATTGCAGAATCTGGCATGCGCCACGCAGAGAATCTGACGACAACAAACCTTTATGAAGAAGCCGTAGGGCCTCCAGAACCACATTCCCACGCTTTGTACAAAGCAACACCATGCCCATCAGTGCCATTCTTTTTGTTCAGACAACCAGGAATGTCGAGAATGGGAAGCTACCTTTTGATTCCCAAACAGCTGCGTGTTTGGTTGGCCTCCTATTAGGTTCTTCATTCGAGCAAGTGTGAGAGTAGATGCTCGCGAGGAAGAAGCAGACGAGGAAGAGGAGGAGGAAGAAGAAGAAGAGGACGCGCAGCCGAAGACCAAAGGTCCTCCTTGAATTCAGCACACGTCGACTGAAGTATCACCTGCATGT